GTTCTGGATTTGGTAGTTGTAGAGCGTGTTGTGCTCTGAAGCAGTTCCGTACATCCAGACTGCGCCAGAACTCTCGATCAAAGCACCTCGTCCGTTGTAGATGTTGATCTGGCCATGGTCAGCCAGGTCAAGTTCATGGTCGGATACCCACAACCAGGTGTTCTCGAGGTAAGCAGAGGCAGTCTTGGTGATGTGCAGGAGCATGAAGACGCCGAAGCACTTGGGATCAGGGGTAGTAGTAGTGTTGGGCGTCTTAGCGCAGGTGTTGCTCTGCAGCTGGGTTCCAGCGAAGCCACCGACTCTGAAGTGAACATCCCACATTCCAACGGAGCCCTGAGTCTCCTCAGCGACGTTCCATTCGACGAGGATACAGCCAGGAGCAGGACCCTGGGTGGTAATAATGAGCTCAGACAGCTCGACATTTCCCTTGTCACCTGGCTGACCGACCTGGAGCATGGGAATGGGGTTCTTCATGTCAGAGAAGGCCTTGCCGGTGGCCATCAACATCGGCCAGATTTCTCCGGTGATCTTGATGTTCTTGGGCACCTTGATGGTGGAGGTGATGAGGTAGGCACCATGGTCGAAGTAGACGATCTGGTCGGCAGTGGCCTTGTCAAGAACAGCCTGGATGGCCTTGGTGTCGTCTGTCTTGCCATCACCCTTGGCTCCGGCACTCTTGACGCTGAGGAACTTGTCGGCGGAGACGTTCTCGTACTGTGGCTTTGCGCGCTCAAAGACCTTGCCGGACTTGTCGAGCAAGATGGCTGGCTTGCTGGGCTGAGGAAGAGCAGTCTGAATACGGGCCTTGGTCACAGGAGCGGATGGACAGGCGGTAGGGCCACCGGTTGGTGAGGGAGAAGGAGTTGAAGGGGCAGTGCCAGTGGTGCCGGATGGGACTCCGCCGGTTGGTACTCTGGTCGGGACGTTGGATGGCTCAGTGGTTGGCACTCTAGTTGGCTCGCCGGTCTCTGGGATTGGATATGGCGGAGCAGTAGACTGAGCCGGTGGCTGTGGAGCTGGAGCAGGGCAGTCATCACGGCGAGCTACGTCTGGCTTAGCCTGAACCTGCGGGGGGAGTCTCTTTGCCTTGGAGCCAGATCCAGCAGTCCAAGCGTTGCCCTGAACCCAGTGTTTGATGACGGAGCCTCCACCAACGATGGAGCTGCCCTGAAGACTGGTGACTGCGTCTGTGGAGCCAGTGAAGTCGACGTTGTCGAGGATCAAGGTGCCGCCAGACTCGGGGACACTCTCAGCGTTGAAGGAGGTGACGACACCCTTGGGGGTGTTCTTGATCTTGCTGTCGAGGATCATCACGGAACCGACAGTCTGGTTGAATCCTCCGTTGGACATGTTCAAAGCGACACCGCAATCGTTGACAGACAGAGACTTGAAGGTCCAGGCCCAGTTCCAGTTCATGAAGATGGCAGTGTTGCAGTTGTTGAAGGTCAGGTTGCGAGTGGTGAACTGCTGGTTGCCGAAGAAAGCACCGTAGTTACCGCCGTTGAAGACAAGGTCGGTCATGAAGCCACCGGAGCCGTTGTCCATGAAGATACCGATCTGCTTGTTGGCGTCTCCGCCGCCCTTGACCATCTCGAAGCGGATGTTCTGCAAGCTGGAGGCCTGGGCAACCTGCCAGTGGATGCAGGCTCCCTTGCTCTTGTCGAGACCGGTCAGATCGATAACGAGGTTACGGATGCCACGGAAGAAGTTGTTCTGGTTGGTGTACCAGTTGCTGCCGTCGTTCTCGTAGGGGTCGGAGTCAATGACAGCGATACCCTCGAACGAAGGGGCGGCCTTGATGACGGGCATGTTGAGGGCATCTCCCACGATCTGGGTATAGTAGTACTGGATGATCGGCTTGGAGACGACATAGGTGCCCGGCGGGAAGTAGACAAGAGCCGGAGTAGTCGTGGAAGAGTCACAGCCCTTTCCACAGCGGCTTCCAGAGGAGATGGCCATGTTGATAGCGGCCGTGTCGTCAGAGCTCCCGTCACCTATCCACTGTTAGTATATATATATATATATATAGAGTAAACAAAGATAAACAATCCGCCGGAGCACTCCAGAGAACTTACCCTTTGCACCAAAGTCCTTTACATTGCGGAAGACCTTGTAGCCGGCACCACCGCCGTTGAAGGGGGCGACTCCCTGGCGCTTGATAGTGCTGAGCCAGTAGCTGGATGCCTGGGTGTTGGGCGTCTGGTACTGGGGGGTCGGGACGGCACCGGCAGGCGAGAAGAGGCCGACGAGGACGAGCAGAAGCTGGCCCAGCAGCAGGCTGGAGACCAAGCCTCGAGCCATGATGGATCCGGAGGTATCAGACGGTTGTCTCTCAGTAGATTCTTATGTATTTGCAGTGGCTTGTGGTTGTAGTTTTGTGGTTGTAGTTGTTCTTGGTAGATGCAGCTTCAGTGGCCAGCACAGAGCTCTCGCACCCCTTTTATATATGTATATTTTTGGCAGCAGAAGGAAGGAAACAGAAGCTGAGGGAATGAATGGCACGACCTGTGGTATTCAGTCAATATCAAGTCAAGTCAATTGACCAAGGAGTGACTGCGACTGTGCGAGGTGCGCCTATTAAAAGGAGTGTGTGTGTTGTATGTGGTTGCGCGCCAACAATAGGAGGAATTTCCCTTCATTCACAGCAACATCCACAACAAAGGGGAGAAAAAGGGAGGAAGAGAGCGACAGAAGGGCAGAGACTGAGGAGAGGAATAAACACGAAGAAGACAAAGACGAAGGTGAATGAGGAATGTCACGAATATATGAAGCCAGCGCCCTTCATTAGCTCGACGGCCGCCCAGGGCGCCAAACCGCGAGGTACCGATGTATGTACCTGATACAGCCAGCCAGGACTGGGGCAGCAGAGACAGGGAACAGGGGCGCAAAAGAAAAGAAACGAGAGGCGAGAGAGCTGGGGAATCATACACTGCGGGAACCAACTCGAAATAATAAGATTGATATGCTATGTTTATGCGCCCAACCAGCGGCCGCTCAGCGCCGTTCGTTCCACTCGGTCCAGGGCGTAGGTTAAGCTCAAGGGCCGCTCAGGGGCTCAGCAGCCAGTCGTTGGCGGTGGCCTTCGCGCAAGGGAAACACGGCCGCGTTTCAGCCAGGAGCAGCAAGATGAGGATGGGCGTCTAGATGCCTATCAATTCGGTATCGAAGAGCCGGAGATATCGAGGGGACCTTTTTGGTCGTTTTTGCTCGACGGTTGTTGCGTTTCAGCAAGGCCAGCCAGACAGAGCAGACGGCAGACGGGGAGGGCGAGCGGGCGTCTATTATAGACAGACAGGCAGACGGACTCGCTGTGCAGAGAAGAGGACGATGTCTGCTTGAGATCTGCCTGCTTTCGATCTGATGATGAGCCAGTATCTACGGAGTATTGGATGGTGACCGACACCCACACACCCTCCATGCGTGTCCAACATGTTTAACTATTTCAGTTACAGTGGCGGGCCATATAGCAACCCGTTCGCATGGCCAAGGGGGCATGGAGAGGACGGCCAGACGGCAAAGACGGGGCATGACCTGGTCATCTTGTGCATTCGGACACATCAGAAGGGGTTGAGGCACACTTGAGGCCATTTTTTTACGCGCCTTCATCTTAACCCGCTTGCATGAAGGGGATCAGATACGCGCCCTCTCCGCCAGCCAGGATCCTTGTTTCCCAAGTCTATTCGTTTACTCACGACGGGCGGGAAGCAACCTGGGACCTGGGGCCGATAGACGAAATATTATTATTATATTTTGTCCAAGAAAGGAAGAAGAATGATCACCAACTAGGGACGACGGTGATAGGCATAGTTAATCGAACCAAGGGCCGAAGGGACTGCCCGAAGGCTTGCATCACTCGCATTCCGCAACGCCAGCCCGCTTTTAGCTCGCAGACTAGCGGACAACCGGACGAACGGACTGTGACTAGTGAGCTAGTGAGCTGGTGAGCCAGCTAACTCTCGGCCAGGGGTTGGCTAACTGGTGGTGGAGGGACCCTTCTGACCTGTCGATCCGCTGCACGGCGCTGCTAGTCTGATATCAAGGCGCAGAGCCAACCCAAGATAGACTCGCACTCGGCCAACAGCGAAAACTCCTGCTCCTGGCTCCGAGACGGGCATCTCCATGGGCCTGCTCCATAACGAGTTACGGAGGGTTCGTTGCTATTCTGCAGAGCCTGTCGGATGATGTACCCTCAGCCTTCCCTCCGGCATGCATCATGCATCGTGGGCGCTGCTGGATGCTGGAGACAATCGACGACGGTGGAGGCTCGACTACGCAAAATGTGCGACCCCAGGCGAGTTCCATGGCAAGGGAGAAAGGCAGTTGACCACGCTGCCATCCCACACTCCCCGTCCACATGGCTGTCATGTTATCGTCTGAAGTACTTCATGAGCCGTATCCCTCGTCGAGCCCGGTGGTCATGGGCAGAGCTTACTCCGCGGCCGGTGTGGTTGCACAGCTTAGGGTTAACGATGCAAGATGGTAGCACGGCCGCCGATATAGTGAGTTAATCAATCAATTAATATAGCAACCGTGCATGGGGGGGACAAGATGATGGGTAGATGCTACACTGGCACCGGTTTGGTCATCATCTTTCTCTTTGCTTCTTGTTTACTTATTGATCGATGTTTGCCGTTTGATTGCTGCATATTAACCGAGCAGTTTCGCTTCCCATCATCATCACCCATCGCCATCACCGCCCTAGCCAAGTCCTCCGCCTCTGGCTGTGAATCATGATACGAGAGTCCAAGGATCTTGTCAGCTACTCTAACCTGACTTGTTAAGCATGTGCGCGGATGTACCGGGCTCTCATGACGATGTCTGTGATGATGACAGCGCGGAGAAAAGGGGGAGGGGGGGTCAACCCCGGAGCAAGCTGAATATGTTCAACTTGCCGACCGACTTTACCAGTCGTACATTGCAAGAATATCCCGGCATGAATGCCATGATTATTAACAAAGACGGAAGACCTTCATTGCCGTGAAACTGCAGCGAAATGATATCTAACATCTTGTGTCCTGCTTTGCCTTTTCAACAGCCTGTGCAAGGCGCTGGACTCCTTCCTCCAGCATATCTTCGTCCACGTACGCCAGACAGATACGCACAAAGTCGTCCAGCGGCCCGTCGGCGTCTGCATGGTCATAGTCTGGCTTTGCGCCTTTACCAGTGACCTTGCTTCCTTCTCCAGCGGCAATCCGTAGATTCAGCTCCTCTGCAGCAATCCTGGTCACACGATTTGCTGAGATGCCTGGAGGAAGGCGGAGCCAGAAGAAGTAACCGCCTGAAATCTCACTAGGCTTTATCTTGTCGCTGCTACCAGATGGTGGTGATGGAGCAAGGGGTTTGGTGAAGGTCATACCAACGGGGTGGAGATGCTTTTCGATTGCGGCGCGCAGGATGTGGTACCGTTTCGAGTATGCTGGACAAAGCACCTCTGGGATATACGACTGGATGAAGCCGGAGGAGAGGAGCTGGCAGATGAAGGTAGACGTCAACTGTGAGGGAGCGCCGCCAGAGCGTGTCGAGCCTCTGTGATTTCCCTCCGCGGTTAGTCTTGTCGGATGTTGCTGGCAGTGGTGAATTAATATCCAGGTAGTGAAAAGTTCCACTTACGTCTGTCCAACGCCGTATACAAACTTCTCTGTCCCTTCAACCCATCCAACTCGACATCCAGGGCCGAGAAGTTTGCTAAAGCTCCCGTTACTCATACAATGTCCGAACTCGTCCCTTGGCCCGCCGTCCAGGAAACGATCGATGTCAACCAGACGTGGTGCAACGGCAGTCGTAAGCTGTGGTTGCGTGCATGACGAATCGATGTGCCACTGTAGAAAGTCGTAGACGTCGTCCGTCACCACGAGTGCGTCATACTGTCGAGCGAGACGGACAAGCTGCGTACGTCGGCGGACGGACATGATTCTAGATGACGGATTGGCGAAGGTAGGGACTGCATAGATAATATGCTTATATATCTTCCTCCATGGGCGTGGGGGCTTCAATTTCTGTCTGATTGTCAGCACTCATAGTCAAAGCAAGAAGGCAGGCTATATACATAGCTCACGTACCGGCTCCAGATTCCCGTCTGCCACTGCCCGTTCCTCGCTCTTCTTCAGCTCCCTCTCGAGAAAGTCAACGTCAATACCCTCGGCATCCTCCCTGACGGCTCTCAGCTTGTCTCCGAACCCAGCATCATCGAACATGCCACACGCAAGATAATACGTCGGCGACACCAGCCATACGTTCCGCGTATACACTGGGTCGGAAAACACCTGCAGCACGCAGGCCAAGTTCTGACTGGCGCCGCCAGATATCACTATCCGACCAGCATCCACGGCTTCCCGTGGCTGGTAGAAGGCCGTCAGCCATCTTGCTATCTCGGCACGCAGCGAGGGGTCTCCTTCATCCGGGCCGTAGCCTAGGGCGGGCTCCGAAAGTGCCGGCGAGTGCAGGACGGCCTTGGATGCTTCTGACAGGGCTGCCGTGGGGTGTAGCGAGGGATGCGGCCAGCCCCGGGACAGATTGATGGGCCGTTGAGTGAAGCGGACTGTCATTGTCGTTGTAACCGTTCAAGCTATATCTTTCTTCTCTTGCTACACTCTGGTAGCTACTCTCGAGGGTTGGTCTCTGGCTCTGGAGTAGTGATGGATTATGGATGCGGCGCGGGGCGCGAGGCGAACCATGTCTCTGCAGACGGCCTGAACAAGGTTCTGTGGTCCAATTCTATCATTCCTCGCCTCCAGGGGTAGCAACCGGCAGTCCTATCGGGCACAGTAATATCGATATTCGGTCCCTGCTCCGAGATGCAGCTAATGCGTATCCCTTAACTAGTAACTATGAGTGTGTTAGCAGTGGTACGACTTCATCATGACATCACCACCTACCAGTGCCTCTAGAGTCTCTCGAGCACTCCAAGCTGCCTATAGATCTTCTCTAGGCCTCTTTTCGTGTAGTCAATGCAGTATCAACTCTCTCTCCTTCGCTTCAATCTATCACCGTCCGTGGGCTGTCTTCGTCTGTTTCGTCTGATGTCGTCGTCGTTATCAAACTGTCCACTTTTCGTCTATAAGAAACACACCGAGGAAGCCATCACATGACAAGATCGCATTGATGGTTTAGTGGTAAGATCCGTCGTTGCCATCGACGGGCCCCGGGTTCGATTCCCGGTCGATGCACTTTTTTTGCCTCTCATTTTGTTCTTCTTCTTTTCCTTTTTAGTTCCTGGTGCTTCTCTCCAGGAGTCCTACAGCGTCTTTCGTCTATCGATTTGTACTGTTGACGCCCTTGAGGATCTCCTGCAAGGAGTATCACGTGCATATGCAGGTTTTTGCTGTTGAAACTCGAGCTGTGCATTTACGAGCAGACAGGCAGAAGCTGTGAAACAAGGAGAAACATGAAGAGTGTCATGAATCAATAGCTAGTTGGCGGCTATTCTAGTTCATCTCTCTCTGTCCTGTCTACGCTGTTTTACTGTAGGAGAATCAAAGACCAGTTGGGCTATTTAGGGCTTAGGTCTAGGGCTAGGTAGTTGGGGGTGCCGAAAAGGGGAAATACATATTTTTGTCATCATGTATGGGGCCATTGATTAATCGATCTATAGCAGTGGCAGGTAAAGGAGATTAAGAGGATGCAGTGAGACATGCTGATAGTGATCAGTAATAATTATGACAATTCTCTGTGATCTCGGCTATCGATATAGCTCCGTTGATATTATTTATATCTGTAAAGATCTTAAACAAAGTTTGCCTTAATATATAACATAATGCTGTTAAGAATGAGCTCAAAATACCCACCGAGATCTCCATTGGATAGCCAACTTTCGGAGCCAACCCTTCCCAGGTTACTCCTCTTCACCCCATTTCCGGCATTTCCATCACTACTGTGAATTAGGTTAATTTTTCCATATACCGTAAGTCAAGAGATGAACGTGCCGAGGCCAAGCACAAGTTCTGTGAACATCAACGGCTTATCAGTGAGCTCTCCCTATACGTGAGTTCGATAAACCCTCACCGGCTTGGTATATCCCGTTACCTCCAATTTGACATAGCTTATTTCCAATAAATAATTGATGTCAAAGTGGCAATTTATGCAAGTAATATGCATCACAAGCCGAAAAAAAATAAGCCGATCAGGAGCAATGACCGACATATCGTTCCAGAGTTGCCATCCGATCGTTATGGTTGGGAATAATAGGCTATTCCCCACTTTGTCAGATTGACTCTGGATGTGGTCACAATATGTATACCCCAGTAGTACTCCATACTGCACAGGAATCTGTGGTGGCTGGTTTAGTAGAAATCTGCGGATGTGTAATATATTAAATTGACGGGAGTGGCCATGTCTCTGGTAGGGTTATATATTGTGTGTGACAAAATCCCGGCCGCGGAGGAAAAGGAAAAGAAAAGGCATGGTTGAACCATGGTTGTGTAATGCTTCTCGCCCGAAGACAAGAGTAAAATGTCTAAGAAGTGCTTTTTTTTCCCTTCGTGACCTTGAACAAAAACTGAAGCTGTGTGGCATATCTACTGGTTAGTAGTCAAGTTTGACATCAAGATGGGGTAGGGTATTGTTATGCAAACTCTGCCACTTTCTGGTTGCAGACTTTTTTGATAAAGGTAACCGTAACATTACATAATCGGGCGGGCTTGTGATGGGTAGCTTTCGACACCTCCTGCCGGGATGAGCGGCAATATTGTCGAGCACAACTGATGGCTGTATCTCTTCGCAGAGCAGAGTCTTTGATTCCAAAGGTAATAGACGGGTTCTGTGTATTTGTCTCGGAGCTATCTTGACGCGGGGTCGAGCCTGGTCTTTGGCCTGTATGTCGTGGACACAACAGGAGTAAGGGTGGTACGGTACCAATCCGCAGCCTCTGTGCTAGATTCGACTTTTAAACTCATCCGATGTGGCATCGGCGTGTGCGAATAGCTGGACAAGCTGTCCTAGGCGACAGTCCGTGCCTGGCCACGACGATCTTTCTCTGCATGTTTCCGTCAATGCCCAGTGGCGCACACTCCAGCGAGACGCCGTAGCCCTCCGTTTATTCAAATATTGAAGCCATATGTTAGAATTACGGCCCGACTGCATGTACGTAGGAGGAGCTCTCGATGGCGCCGTTAACAACTCAGCTAGACGTGCAGCTTCTAAGAAGTTTTAACTTCTCTGACTTTCTCTGGCTCATGACTCCCAGGATGGAAGTATGTGCTCCAACTTCCACATTCCCGGATAATTAGGCTGCCTGTTGATGCTGGTCATCCACTCCAGCTCTGACACAGAAGGCAGAAGCAACGAAAACAAAGGTTGTCCATGGCGTCTTCTCCCCGGTCACGAGCCTGGCGGACGTGGAGAGCTGTGATTAGTTGCAGGGGGTAACATCTGAAGAAAGGTGTTTCGCACTCGGATGCTATCACATGTAGTGCCATATTAAACTGCACTGCGAGATCCTCATCAGAGACATTTCCCACGTTTAAGTAGTTTAAATCCAGCTAAAGGAAGAGCTGCTTGCTATGAGGACTGTCGAAGCCAGGGCTATCGACATTAGATATGCGGTGTATAAAAATGGATAAGTCGGACGGAATAGCGTCATCGGCAGCTTACAAATTGCGATCCTTCATAAAATAGCTCTGTGACTAGCGTGGGTGAATTAAAGTAGGGCTAGGGTGGATTACAGGGAGCCCGGCAAAGGGAGATGGAGCCCCTTGTTTGATCTTGTCTTGTCTTGTCTCGCTGTCTCGTGTGGACAGGGTTTGGCACGCAAGGATCGGGGGTTCCTCGTCGGTGGGACTCCAACATGAAAAATGATTTCTCAAGACCGACGACGGACGTTTTATCGAAGTCGTTTCTTTCCGTTAATTTTCTGTCCCTTCGTTATAGGTGTAAATATAATGTCAACTATGAACGACAAAAGTTAGAGATGCAGTAGAAATAAGCAAAAACAGCCAGCACCATTCAAAGTAAATGCGAAAAAAAGAAACACGGAAATTCTATTCTTAGATGCAAAAGCATGAAATAAAGTGGAAATAAAATATTATACGGACGGCACGTTCTCGGACGACTGGACTGGCTGCCATGCTGGTGGTAGAAGCTAGAGGAGGAGGAGGCCTGTGAGATGTATGTATCCTGTGTAGCTGTTGAGGAGGGAGACATGTCGACTGGCAGCCGGGGAGATCATGAGACGAGTAGACGAAGGCGTCAGGACAGGCGGAAAACGGAGTCAAGGAGCAGAGCGAACCCCTGCATGGCGCAGATGGAGATAGATAGAGGGCGGCGGACGGCGGACGGCGGAGAGATGAGAGCGAGGGCGAGGGCGAGGGCGAGGATGAGGTCGAGGTTGAAAAGTGCCGACGTCGATGTTTCGCACCTGATACACGAAAAAGGGAAAAACCGCCCTTCTGCCACCGCTCGCCGCCTTTTCGGCTTTCAACTCTACTTCGACTTCATCGAAACATCAACAACAACCAACAACATCACTACTAACTACTACAAGACGACAACGCAAGAGGCTGCAGCAAGCAGAAGGCTCCAGACCCCACTGTCACGGCCGCCAACCAGTGAGATATCAGGCTCGCCTGCGCCGGACAAGGCTCAGCAACTCTCGTCCTCTCGTTTTTGTCGTTGGTGCCGCCTGGCTACTGCAGAGGAGCGAGAAAGCCACGCGAGAGACGAGAACCAAGCAAAACAGCCACTTGCCGGGGCCCCAGGGATACGAGGCCTCTTGTCTTCGTCTCGGACTGGCTCTTGAGGTCATACGCTTCAGGGCCTGTTTGGTTTGGTCGATCGATCAGCCCGGACTTTACGCAGTGCACACAGGCTCTGCTTGGCTGCTTAGGGGGAGGAAAATACATATAAGCGAGCAAGGGCATCATCCGTCAGATACGAAAGGAGAAAACTTCCCAGAGCCGCATTGACATCAGCTACAAGTTTGCCGGAATACGGACAACCGCTCCTGTCTTCGTCATTTATTCCAGCTTAGCCCTCTCCTTTGATCCTTCGGCTGTTCATTCCCGCAGGCGCAGCGACAGGAGCCACTCACAGGAATCAAAAATAAGAGATAATGAGGCAAAAGAGAAGAGGAAAAAAACTGGGCCTTGTTGCTTTTCTTGGATACGCTACTTGTTTGACTCCTTGGCTGGGGGTGCTTCCAGTGCTTGGAAACGCTCAATATTTAGACTCGCCATTCTTCTTTCTTTTTTCCCCTTCTCTTCCCTCTTTCTCAGTCTTTAGAAGACCTCGCTTATCCAGGATATCTCAAGCGGAAGAGACGGACCGATCCCTCTTCCTCTTCCTCTTTTTTTCCTCTCAATCAGATATTCACTCGTTTATATATCTTGCCACTCAAAGGGGGAAAAGACGGTGACGAGGAAAGCAAGCAACAACCAAGCAACAAACTAAACTACCAGTGAGGAAAAAGAAGATTCAAAGCCTCAAACGAGATAGCAAACGACGAAGTATACAAGTTACTACGTCAAAGCACAACCGACATCTGCCCTTATTATCACCGCAAGCCCATGTTGCTCTCTGCATACCAACGCTGAAAGACCCTTCACAATGTTGGCAACTCCCTCCAACAATCCCGTTCGCCGCCTCTCTTCGTTCTTCTCGCTGGGCTCGCCGAAACCTGATGATAAACGCTCTCCCACCAAGTCACCTCATTTACAATCCTCCCGCTCATCTTCGTTGCAAACTCCGCCCCTTCGGGATCAACAGCTCGCTGAAGAGACACAGGCATTGAGCCTCAACCCACGGAATGTCTCTGCTCCTGTCCTCGGTGAAAATGCACACCAAAGCTACACTCCTCCACCACGTCTCTCCAGTTTGAACCCAGATCTAGCAGGTCCAGGTTCGCCAGATACTCACAGCCGTAGCCAGAGCTGGAGTGATGCTGTACCGCGATTCAGCAAATCTGGTTCAAGGCCGGGTTCAGGTCTCGGAGTTTCGGGAGTTAACGTCAACCCTAGCCCTGCTACAATAAGCAAGTCCAAAAAGGGCGCTAAGTCGAAGTTGTCCGGCAGTGATGCGTCAAATGGTAAACGGGCTTGGATCGCTGGAACGGAAAACGATATCCCCTATGATATTAGCACTCTACTTGCAGGAGAGAGGGTAAGTCAAGCTCTCTTGACTCATTATAGAACCCTTTTTTTTTAAAAAAGTCTTTTTTTTTTTTTTTTTTGGCTGACTTGAATTAGGTAGCTGATCTCTGGGATGATGCCGGAGATACCTATGTCTACCTCTTCCCTCAAAACTCTGGTCGACCGCCTTCATTCAAGGTTGATTCCGCTATTTTTTCTGCATCCGCGTCTCTCACACTCCTCGCCCGCGGGAATCCTTCTCCTCCTCAATCTACGCGAGGTGGTCAGGGCCGATCCCGAGATCCTAATTCGTCTTCTCCTCCTCTTTCAGCACAAAATGGATCTAGTTATGACGAGGGCTCCGACGGACAGTCGCAGGATGGCTTTCTAGACGACGAATCACCGGAGTTGCACCTATATATGCCCGTACCCCTTACCGGCGATCTTCCCTGCGGCCGAGAGCAGCCTGTCCTTTCTGCTGATGATGTGGATATGCTAGTACTTTTCCGCAATCTGTTTGCCTTCCTTATCGGCCAGGCATTGATTGCAACGCCACGCACACCGTCTATCTTCAACATCTTCATGGAAGTGTCCGGACTCCTAGATCGTTTTGGATTCACCAACCTGGACCAGTCAACTTTTGGAGAGACTGCCACCAGCAGCTTCGGCTGCTATTGCGATGAACTGGATTTAATCGATGTCCGTGCTTCGAGGGAACGTGCCTTGGATGCTATCATCCTTGGTGAACGTATGAAGTATCTCCCTCTGTACCAGGAGGGTTTCACTCACGGTGTTGCAGTGCTTGACGATCTAAAGAAGTTCGAGACGAAGTATAATCTTGTTTCTGCAGTCACTCGAAAGAGATTGGAGCGAGGATATCTAGACCTAGACAACAGGATAAGGACCTGTGCTGTCAAGATCGATGAGTTTGAATTCCCTTCTTTGTTCGCCGGTATTGCCAACTCAAACGTCGCAAATGAGGCCAAAGTCATCCGCTTCAAGAACTGGAAGAACGCATACCTCAGCTATCGAAAGAATGTCATGAATTATTACCGCGCTCGTTTCGGCTCATGGCCTCCCAAGGCCAGCAAGAAGACCCAGTTCCAGGAAAGCGGCCTCAATCGCTTGGTCCTTCGAGAGCTTTACCAGGACTTCTGCGATCTCTATGATATGCTTGCCGACCGTACCGATCTTACCACCCGCTCCGCAGACATGACTACCTCCGTATTTAAGGCTGAAGACTCGAATTCTACCTCTCAAGCACTGCGACAGATCATGTCGGAATATGACCGCAGTACACCACCAGTTCAGCCACCAATTCCCTTTGACATTCCCCGTTTGCCGTCTATCCATTCCATCCGACGCAAGCTAGACCCTAAGCGTGAAGCCAAGGAGCGTTCAAAGCGACTTACTACTGGTGAAGTGAACGAGATTCTGGTCTCCAGTTACAACCACGCAAGCATGAAACCGACCCCTTTCCTGGAGAACTTTATGAACTATGAGCGTCGCGTTGGCCACGGTAAATGCGCTGACGAGCTTGCGGATATGCGTTGTGCACAGTGGCTATTCATGTACGCTGTCATACAATCATTGCCAATGCTTGTTGTGGATGCCCCGGATCTCAGGTGTACACATGGGGTGGAATACTTCCTCTGCATACCACCATGGGGTGGATCTCCTTGGTGCGCTTCTGACCCAAAGAATGGCAAGAAGTGGTTTGGTGTTGCTGGTGGGTCTGGCGTCGTCAATCTACCATCGGATGTGGTTGCAAATGGCGTCGATGCTGTCTATAGGCGCAGCCACTGTTGGCAGGTTGCCTTGAAGTGGGCAGACGATGGACAGCTGAACTCGTCTGTTATGTTGGACCCTGCTTCACAACAGCCAGAGGAGCCACAACAACCACCACTGCCTCCTCCTGTTCCCCAGAGCCAGCCACAATCACCGCAGCAGCAATATCAAGCATATCCTCAGTATCCCCCACCTCCACAGCAATACCCTCAGCAACCACCGTATCCAGCACCACAATACCCACCGCCGCCGCCACAGCAGCAGCAGTATCAGCCATACGCTCAACCATACCAGCAGCCGCAGTATCCTCCGCAACATTACCAACACTACCAACACCCGTCTCTATCTATTTCAACCCCTGATCAATCTACTGCTGGCTCTCTCCCTCCCTCAGGTACCCCGACTGCCTACCCACCACCCAACCAGGCTCAAAACTTCTACCCATTCCCTTACCCGCCACCCCTCTCATCTACTGGCTCCTCTTCAGACAGGCAACCTACTCCACTTCTTACACCAGGCGATACTACACCTCCTAATCTCCCCATGCTCAATCTCCAGCCACCAAGTGCGTCATTTGGTCGAGGTGCCGGAACCCCAGGTAACCGTTCCTCGATATACATGGGCCTTGAAGCCTTGCCACTACCAGCTGGCGTTAGCCCCGTGGATACATCAGGAAGATCATCGACTCATAACCCTGACGCAAGCTTCGATCATATTCTGCAAGGTGTCTCACAGCCTAAGAAGAAGAAGAAATGATGAAATTGCTTATCAGAAGGTTGAGTTTGGTTTTGTTTCCTTCTTGAATCTTCCATTGGTTGTTTTGTTTTTCTTTTCTTTTCCTTGGCCTTTTTTTTTTTTCTATACATTGTTGGCGCGTACAATTACATTGTTTTACTGCTACAGTTCAGTACTGGATGAGATGAGATGAGGATAAAAATGGTTTTAATTTTTAATTATGCATGACACGCGCGCACATACAATATGCTCACGCCCCTTATACACTGACATGGAAGCAAGCAGCTGTTCTTATACTATTCTTCCCTGCCCTTGGGCTTTAGATGTTTCTTTCTTTTTTCCTTATTTGTTCCTTGGCTGTTTCCTTTCACTGCTTCCTGTTTGTTGCATTTCTGTACTCCATGTTCCACCCGGCGTTGCACAAAAAGCAAAATAAAAACTGCCGAATTGGATAAATAATAGACATACATTATGAATGATATACATACTATGGGAGGTTCTGTCAATATAGGTTATGTTTTTTCGGTATGTTCTATTTCTGTTTTCTTCATGAAAGGAATGCTGTTTTATCTCGGATCATCCATAGCTGGCTTATTAACTTTGGATAGCTTTGTGTTATTTCTCCCGTGTCGTTGATCATCGGCCCCTCAGATATTGAAGCTAACAATTTCCACCGAGGTCTAGTTACTCTCCTTCCTGGCTCATTGCGGACAATCGATGAATATCAGTAACACCAACTAACTCTCTACCGGGCCAACACGAGCAGCAGTGTTTGCTATTGGCGATCTGAATCCATAGACTATGCGCTGTTGTTCACGACATGGACTGCTCCTTTTTGCGGACCTCGAAACTAGTCTGCAGTGATATCGGTTATGTCTAAGAAGTCTCAGTATCCCCAGCCTTCTATTTGACTCCACAATCAACAGCCATCTTATTGTTGATGTTGTTTTAAATTGCGCCCAATCAACAGCCTCGATTTACAGTTAGCTTCCTATTTAAGCATATGTTACGGGTATGCGGAACTTTGCGCCAGGGCCACTGCAGGATGAACCAGGATTAAACATCCAACATCTGACTTAACCCATTACAAGTCGCGGGTTGGATGTTGGATACAGGGCTTGACAGCCCAAGCGTCTCGGATGGAATTCCTTTCGCGGCTGTGTCACTATACCTTGCACTCGATCCCTTACGATAGTTAACTATGAAACACAATGGGCGACAAAAATTCATGATAATACCATGCTGGGGTGGATGGCTCACTTCCCACCGTTTCGACTCTATGGGTGCTTTCTCTATGGGTGCTTTTCCTTTGGGCTTCCTCATGGTCAAAATCCCGCATCAGTTACCATAGGACTCCGTACTTATGGGGCTTGAGACCGGAGTATTTGGTGAAAGTGCAAGCCCTGCAATGGGGCCAAACATGGGCTTGATATACCAAAATAATGCCTGTAGACGCATTTACGATGTGTCCGCAGCCGTATCCAACATCAAGGTCGGTTCGCCCCTTGCCAAATATACCCGGTTAAGGATTAGGAAGCATGCATCGGCTGAGTGAGGGGCAGTAAGGAATGCTGAAGGGCAGTGCAGATGCATTGCCCTTCATTGAGACAATATTATGTTTATAAGGGAGCTCCTATTTCATTTGGAAATGGCTTTCCAGATATTCAACGCGCCGTGTTTCTCCTTTTGGATAAGAGAGAAAAAAAAAAAAGGGCACACAATACCAATATGAAGATATCTGTTTCCTCGTTGTTGGCGTTTTCTACGCTTCTTTACCATTCCACATTAGCCACAACCCTGAAATCATCGCGAAAAGACACTTTAGAATCATGGAACTCTGTTCAAGCACGACACCTCTCTCCGGCATATCCTCATGGTGGTATTCGGAAACGGCAGCCTGGCAAGATACTACGAAATGAAGCCAGACTTGATTTTGTTGATCATTTCACTCATGTTACTGCACGGACCAATGACCCGGTCCTTTACGCTACTTTAAACATGCGAAGTAACCATCCTGTTCTCTCGATAGAAGATTTGGAGGATGGCCTCGTGGATGTTACCTGCTCTAAGGAAGGTATTAAACTGACCTTCAGTACTTCACAGTATATGGAGCAGGTTAGCAAAGAGCTTGGAAACACCGAAGAATTCGTTGCTATCTCATCACACTGGGGATGTAATGAAGAAGAGCAGAGAGCACCACATATGTGAGTAATATGCATAATGGTTAAAGTATATATGCTAATGCTGGTGTAGGATTACGGATATCACTGTTCACAAGGACGAGAATAGTGTTCTGCTCTCGCGGAAGGATGTCCAATGGAAAGAAGCATTCCACAGCATCGATGTCTCCTTTTCGCACAAGGGGAGCAGCAGCGTCGTCAGACGTAGTCAAAAACCCATGAATCCGAGCCGGCGTAGAAGTGGCACACGGACACCTGAAGAATCACCAACTTCTACTGTCCGCGACGTCGTCTTCCCTGGTGTGCCTTCAAATATCCCTTATTTAAAGGACGGTGGGGGGCGAATTAGTGTTAATCATAAGGGTAGAAAGCTTGTACCTCTCGACTCGGATATAACCAACATTTTGGGATTGTGAGTTTTCAGCCCTTTCCTGCTATGGAAGTAATTGGCTGACATTTTCCCAAACCAAGGCCCGAAGGGGTGACACTGTCTTGCAAGGAGTGCAGCATTAATGGAGACGTAGTTCTATCGACGGGCTCATTCTCAATTACTAGCACCGATGATTCCGGCCTGGTCTCTACCCTTGCATTTATCAGTGAAGGACGGGTCGATATAGAACTAAGCAGAGTCTTTGCTCGGATGGAGCTTGAGCTGGCCTTGGAAGCTGGCAAGGAGCTGCTTAACTTCACTGTGCCAATGCCTTCGGTCCCTCTCAGTCCGTTTACAGTGAGTGCTGGGGTGTTAGTCCTTCATATATGTCACCGATTTTCCATGCTAACGAATTCCAGATCCCTCAAGTGGTTGATTTCGGGGCTATATTGGTCCCTCAGGTGTCTGTAGAGGTCGCTCTGAGCAAGCCGTTGAACTTCACTTACGGCGTGGACATCTCAGTGTGTTATATCTTCCCGCCACGCCTATTCAGACGCTTGAAAGATTAGCAGCACTCATCAAAACTATTAGGTTCCAGAGGACTCCTTCATCTCACTTAACTTTGGATCTCCTGCAAACTCAACTATCAAAGGGCTGTAAGTGATAGTTCTTAGAAAGATGCACCAAGGGCTATATACTGATAATATGATAGTCAACATACTACCTTTACAGAGATACCCTTCCAATCCCCCCAGGCTATCACAGATCTTACTTTCTCCGTCAGCTTCTCACCGGAGATCCTCTTCGGCCTGCGCTCTCCTACCAGAATCATTAGTGGTGGAGCTGGCGTGGCCTTCAACATGCCCCAGGCGTCAGTGAAAATCAGTCAGCTGGACGACGTCAACGAAGTCTGTGAAAAGATCCCACATGCTCCGGGGATTGAAGACGACATGGCCAAGAAAGGCAGCTTCTTTGGCAACTTCACGCATATTGAGCCATCTCTCGAGTTCAACGTCATCCCTTTTATTGAAATGCAGCTTGACCTACCTCGTGGTGAGGTTCTTCAGCAGCTTGAGGCTACCGTTACTTCTACACAGCTGAGTCTGCCCACTGCTTGTTTGGCCTTTGACCAGAAGATGAGCACATACGGTGCTCCAACCCAGGTTTTGGCAACCTCAACTGCCGGTCCAACTGCCACAGCTTCCGAGGCAAAGAAGGGGGCTGCTGGCCGAACCGGTGTTGCAAATACATGGTCAGTGTTGTGCATCTCTGTCCTTGTATCAGCGGTATTTGTTGCTATTTAGCTATTAAGTGACGGTGTCTTATCCCTTTCATTTGGATGTTGATGTTCTATATTTATAACTATTAACTACCATGTACATAGTTAGTTGCCTTTCTAATAATGACAGCAATGCTTCGCTTAGCTAATAATTAATTAATTACACCTCTCGTATCTGTGCATCGCCTTACCCATGCTTGCTGCATCCATCCTGACACTCCTCCCCTGTCATCAAACAGGCAACCCAGCACTTCGTCTCAGGGGTAATAAACATCGCCCCCTCGCCCCTTTTCGTCTGATATCTGTTCCCCTTGCCATTCTGTAGTGTCCACAACTAGCGAAAGACAGCCGCCCCCTTCATCAAGATCGGCCTTGTGGTCTAGTGGTATGATTCTCGCTTTGGGTCACCAAAGTTGCGAGAGGCCCCGCGTTCGAGTCGCGGCAGGGCCCCTTTTTTTGCTCTTTTTTTACGGCGAGCTTTTAATCGTCTGATCTTATTCTTTTGATCTACTGGTGTTATGGCCTTTTTTTTTTTTTGGTGCGAAAAGCCCTGGAAAGAACTGCGAGTCGGTGGTGATGGAGCAGGAGAAAAGTGCTGGTCAACTGACTCATAACTAGTTAGCTGAAACGCCAACAAGACAACGCAACAACTCAACTGCTCGCAGGTGGTTAGAGTCATCGACAGGATCAAAAGAAACAACAACTATGACTCGGTTTTACGAGGATCAGAGTTCACCTCCAGGCTGGTTCTGAGTCGAAGAGCAAGAATAACCACTCGCAAAGGGCATTCTGGCGTGGAGTGAGCTGCGTCGTCCTGTCTGTGGCCCTTGTGCATCAACTAATAATTACAGGCGGCTGAAGGGAGGAACTGCGGTCTCTGACTCAGTGGCAGAAGTATCAGGGCTGAGATCGAAGGACTCAACAGATGAGCATATCACTATTTAATATAGTGAAGATCTGGCAGGTCTATCATGATCGGTAGACGGATCAGATACACTCCTTTGTCCCCTTATCACCACGACTGTCAGATACCACCACATTGACAGTAATACCTCATGGCTGAGCAGGAAGAACCTCCCACACCGAGGAGCTTGTCTCTTCTATCTTTTCAGACTGCTCTTTGCATCGTCCCACCGCGACACCTATGGAAGGATATCGACCGCCTTAGGTCTCTATATGACCAGGCTTATGG